ATCCTACAAATTTCTAGTTGTCATAAAACTAAAACTACTGAAACATGCAAAGCTAAACATTGGGTCACCTGCAGAATCAAAGCGCTATGTTGTAGGCAACTGCTATGTATGCTGTATGCAAATTAGTTTCAAAAAAAAAAAGGTAAATATATACTTTCTGTTGATAATTTAAACTAATCTTGAGCATGGCCTTTGTTTCCTGTGTATATGGGTTTTGAGAAAAGAATACGGAATCCATAAAACAATTTCTGAAATTACTTAGATCAAAAGTGTCACAATAATTAGGATTTTACATTTTTATAACTAGTTAAGACAAAGCTTAGATAATCAAGACATTTTATTAAAGAAAAAAAAAACTTTCTCTGCAAGTGCTCAGTAAATGTATTTAGAATCTTACTGTTTCCAGTAAACCTCTAAGTAGTACTTATACTACAACATAGGTTACTTGAACCACTTTACTAATTTTGATTGCTACTGTGAAATCATCATGGTTGTGAATTTTCTGAGCAGAACTATAACATAAGTGCAACCGACTGACGTAAGGTTAGCAGTTAATTTAGAAACTGGCTGTAGATCAGCCAAATGAAATTATGTAAAACAAACCTCAGCAAGAAGCACTAGACGTGCTGAAAACTTTTTTCAAATTAACACCCACTATTCTAAGTTCTATGGTTATGTAATAAGATACCTAAATAGCAATAAAGGATGTGAGAATCAAAGCAAAACCTACACAGTATTATGTTCTTTTAAATGATTATATTAAATAATTTCAAAGTCTTAAGTCTTAAAAGTCAAACAAAGTCTTAGAAGTCAAATATATCCATGTAAAATGCAGAGCACTATAAATTGTTGTGTCTGTGTGTGGCCTGTAACAGTCTGCTACATTATTTTACTTACCTCTGTACTCTTCTAAAAATAAACAGCATACTAAATACTATCACCAGCTATACCTAGAACTACTTATGTAGGCATCAGACATCATAGAGAATGGAATTGCTTCAATAAATGCTAAAATTTCTCCAAATGTACACAGTGGTAAGCATCAATGCAAAGCTAGAACTGTGTTATTAGTAGATAAAAAAAAAAAAAAAAAAGCAAGCTGATATGCATATTATAAAAAAGGGTTCTATGCATTTTAAAATAACTTTTCCACAGTATTATGTGATTTCATGTTCAAGACACCTGTACATTTGCTGCCTTTTCAAATACATCAGAAAAATATTTGTGAGCATATAATAAAATCCCCAAAAGAAGTCAGCTCAATCCCTAATGCTTTGGCTCAGAAAATAGGTATATAATATACGTAGCATACAAATAACTTCCTCATCTTAAATGGTGCTACTCACAAATTTAACATTACACAGATTTAAGCATCCTGGTAAATCAAACCCTGACTCAACACATGAATGCTGCGTGCTGCAATCTAATGAAAGATACCACCTTCAAAGTGTGAAGCACTCTTATCCACAGACTTCCAGATCTCACTGCTGGGTTATACCAAGATTTGACATTCTACCTCAGAAAGATTGTTTCTAACTTCCTTCTTCCTTTTAAGTCTCTAAAATCCAACAGTACATTTCTTTAACACCAGCAACGACTACTAAAGGCCATTCTAGATTAAGGTCTAATGTCCCTGTATGACTTTGCAAAAATTCATCTCCTTACTGCACACATTTCTCAACAGGCAGGATCAGTTTCTGTTAAAATTACTCCATATAGACTGTCCAAAATAGGTCTAAATAGTACTCTTCCCTCACAGTAGCACAGTGCCTAGAGATAGTCTCTGTATTCCTTAAGAAATATATCACCTTTTTCGCACTGTATTCCTCCAGCCTTCAGTATTTCCAGGTTCTTAAGATGCCAACATGGAATTGCTATAAATTGCTTAAAACAGAGAATCTATAACTTCCTATATTATGCAGTTTATAAAAAAAAGTCAGCTGCTGGTCACAGACTGGAAAGCTCGTTTAAAGTGGTAACTTCATCTTGCTGTACAGGCCAAAAGAAACAGTTGTCATTTTTTCTCCACATGGTCCATCGCTAGCACTTTATCATGTAATTTTTTTTTCAAGCAAACAATAAAATTTAGTTTTCAATATGCTCACTATATTCAAGGAATTTCTTCAGTCCTTACTAGTTCAATGAAACTGCTTGTGAAAAAGATTATTCTAAAACACAGAAGAGCTGTTTGTATAGCATTCGAAGTATAACTGCAGGTCTAAAGTAAGAGGAAAATGTCCATTTCTTCCATTTATACGGCCAACAATAACTTTTACATTCTGACAGAACCATGTGTACACTGGCGGGGAGGGTAGTTTCAAAATACTTTATCAGGAAGTGCACAGTTAAATAAAATTCATGCTTCTCAGATACTGAAAAGATGCACTGGCTTCTTTGATTCCCAAACCTCGTGTCTGTGCACCCCTCCCCTTTAAAAAAAGCAAAAAAAGCAAAAAAAAAACCAAAAAACCACACACTTAACATTCTCCCCAAAGAATACCACATATACTTTTCAGTGTAAATTACTGTAATAGATGTGAACAATAAACAAACGGAATTCTCTTGATAGAGGGAACTAATGTTTTCTATCTGAAAAAGAACTCAATACAGAAGATCATTGGATTTGTAACAGACAACGTACTCATCTCCTTTAGACGATTCAGTGCACAGAAAATAGATCATTATCTCATTTACATTATACTGAAAAATACTATAGTGGAATGTATTGTATGCTCCACCTACAATATTTTTATAATCTCTTAAGGACGCTTAACTGAAAACAAATGTTCTCTTCTACTTTTAGACAGGGACCTCCACTCAATTCTACAAAGAGTTAAGGAACTCCTTTTATCTAAATTGCTATGTGGGCAGTATATATCAGACAATGTTACACGACAGTGAACGTGAGTCAACGACATATGACAAAACCAGTACTAGTAGGTTATTATTCTCATCATCATGCAATCAACATCTCAAATTCCACTTCGCCTAAAAGCAGCAGCAAGAGACCAAAGGAGACTGTTAGAACAGGTTAAGCACGTGCGAGAAGGAAAGCGTGGCACACGACATGAAAAAGGCTTAAATAATTCTTACATATCACATTCACGTCCATAACTGACAAAACATAATGGTTCAAAGGTAGCCTAAAGTGACCGAAAACATTGTTTTCATTCTGAATGAATCCTTCAAACTACCAAATAAGTAAAAGAGAACATAGGGTTAATTTCTCTCGTGTGTTACTGTAATACTAAAATTTTGAGTATTTCCATTTCACTAAGAAGCCAAATGCAATGTTTACCCAGGTAAATAATTCTAATCTAGGGAGGCGTGAGATACTTTAACCTCTTTATGGAAGACAAATGCAGAAAAATAAAAGCGTATAGAAACCTTTCACCTTCCTCCGATTCTTACCTCAGTTCTAACACCATGAAACGGGGAAGGACAGTAGTGGAACATTTAACATAAGAATATTTAAAACTTTTTAACTCATATAAGGCACTATATTAAAAGTTACAGCCCCACAAAGGAATATATATTCAACAACAGTTACTAACCCAACATAAAATAACCAAAAAGATAACATCAGGATGATAGTTCAGGATTCACCCATAATTTCAATAAGTAAAATTTCCCCGTCTTCAAAATACAGTTACAGATCTAATGGTCGGAAGATGGCTGCTGTAACTAGTTTAAAGGCAACTTACTAAAAACAAATAAATATGAAGAAGCACAGCAAAAAGAAGGTCTCAAATCCTCCTAATATTTAGTGTTTTCAAGGATCTCGCCGAAGTAAAGATCAGTAGCCCAAAATTAATTCCCTGTTAAGTCCATCCTACTTTACCTCATCTTATCTTAAATGACATCCTGAATAGCCTTCCAGAGCTATGACTTTTTATAGCAAAAAGAGCCAAAGATTACCACTATCTTTTGAAAGAATGGATTTATATTTTGGTATTCTGGGAATAGTTTTCTTCGGTTCATTTTCAACTCTGACAAATGCACACTGAAAAAATATCTTAAAGTACTTCTGCAAGATTTCATAAAGTAAAGCTCCCTTTTATGTGCAGATGACCTCAGCAACTGATACGTGCATCCTCTCTCCCCGCAAAAAGTAACATCCATAATCATGTATTTTCTTTAAATGTACATATTTAGATCTGAGTCACGACAGTCTAGTTCTCTGTCTGCAACTTTAGAGGCTAGATACACTTTAGCTCCGAGTTGAAACATTCTTTAAATTGCATGATAAATCAGGAGTACCAGTCCACAGGAAAACAAGCCCATTACTTTGAGCTTCTCCCCCATCCCTTCAGTATAGCATCTTGTACCATATAAAGGAGGGGAAAAGATATCGTATAGTGGCAGGTCAAGCTTTCTGATAAATAGTTTGTTTTCCATCAAATGGATATTTGCAGCCAGCCCAGTAGGGTAGGTTACTAGCCACAGTAAAGCCTTCTACAAAAAGGAATCCTCCTGATTATTCAAATATCTTAACGACTGATAAACCTACCTGTTTAAGTATTGTACAAGATTTTAAAAGCTGTAAGCCACAAAATTGTCTAATATCACAGCTTAGTAGATTGATTAATTAGGTTTCTAAGATTCCAGTGTTAACTTAAACAACAAATAATTTGTGTTTTTAACAACTTTACTTCCTACTAGTCAAAACCCAGTTATTTTCAACTGTTCCATATCTTAATCTCATCAGGAGTATCATCTCAATAGTCTACCTTTCTGTATTAGCACTGAAAGATGATACAAAATATCATTTAAATAAGCATATATCACAATAGGAAGGTTAAGTTACTTTGATGAAGAACTGAGAAACACAGATCTCAGTAAAAGATGTGTTTATTTATCTAAGTCACCTTTAAATGTTTTCGAAACCAGAAGTAAAACACTAACAGTTCCATTACTGGTATCTGTTGTTTCTGCTGTTCCCATCACCTCCATACATTTTCTAAAGCAGAGATTCCCAGATATTTGGGCAGATAACTTACATCATACTTTGCAGCTCAGGCGTAAAGCTTGTTGATTTTCCTGTCCCCCTTCCACTGCTTGAAGAAGCAACTGTTGACATCGGGCTAGCCACAGTGCTGCTCATCTGCGTAAACAGAGAAATAACAGCACTTAGAAATATATTTTATTTTAAAGAGAACAGATGAAAAAACAGTAACAACTACATATCACTTCACAAACATGAACGTGCTTTAAAAATTCCATGGCTACCTCGGTGCTTCATATAGAACTTCATAAGCCATAACCTTAAAAGCACCGAAGAAAAACTTAAGATAAAATTACTGTTATTCTGGTATATATGGTTTTCACAGGCACTGGTACCTTGCTACCCGAAGCACACACTCATGTTCTTAGGGTATCTCAAACACGAGTAAATCACTGAGTCCAAGAGGAATCAAATAGTCTTAGAAGAATTCAGTTAAAAGTTATCATGCCTTCATGAACACTGCTTCATGAACATGCCTTCATGAACACACATCAGAATCCTTTTTGAAATACGAGGTCTTTAAAACGGAAATGCGTTATAAACAAAAAAGTGGTACCCGCTTATCATCGTAATACCAACATGACTAAAGGTGTTATGTTTATATAAAATATTTTATGCCTTTTCTATACAAAATTCTTTAAAAAAAATTCTAAATCAAAGCCAGGACAATTCTAGTCTTATTCTATGAAGTATTCATCTAACTTAGGCACATTTGCCCCTATAGTAAAATGCGAGTCAAATACGTTTGAATAAGTTCATTTTTAAAAAAAAAATCATAATTTACCAAAACTGACTAATCAAAGTTTATCAACGTATGGAAAACTCTCTCCATATACAATAGGGTGTTTCATTTTTTCCTTCAAGCAATTTTTGGCAAAGAACTGCAGACACTATGCAAGTCACCTGATAAATGGAATATATTCTCACTACATTTCTTCCTCTTCTATCTGATTTGCTATGCACTAGTAAATGATCAGCTATACTGCTTGTTTCTTGTACTATTAGTAGTAGCAGCAGCAGTAATGATAATGCAAAGCAGATGTTAATATGATTTGTTTTCAGTAAGCTCTCTAAAGAGATCTTTTTTCCACTTTAAAATTTTAAAGTGGATTTTAAAAAAATTTAGAGTAAAACTTTAAAGTAAATTTTTAAATTTATGTTTTTAGAAAAGAAATCCATCTTAATCTAAAAGTACATAACAAGATTTACATCAAATGCTCTTACAAGCATTGCAGTCAATCACATATATTATGCTTTGGTTTAAGGAATCCTGTAATACTCTAAATACAAAGCCTAAGATCTTTTTAAAAAGAAAGAACGACAGAACTAGTATTGTAAAAGGCTAGTGATATAATAGTATATGGATGGACCAAAAAATAAAAAGTTTATAAATTTAGATATAAGTTTACATTTTTTTTTATTAATGCTTTCGAGTAGATTTTGCCAGACTTCTGTTTATCTTCAGGCAGATTCTAATTTAGGTCCCCATCCTGCAAGCTCTTGTGCACATGTGTAACTTTAATCACATGTTTACTCCCACTGAAATCTGATTTTAATCACATGAGTAGTTACGCACCAGGCTTAAGTGTTGGCAGGATCCTGCCATAATCAGCAGTTACCAAAGAGTCATATAACCTAAACAGTCAAATTAGTGAGTTTAAAAAAAAAAAAAAAAACCCTATAACGTGGAGGAAGCTGACAGAGTATTTCTAGGAAAGCTCTATGTACACATCAAAAGAAGCGACAGGGAGGCTGCAACTGAACCACGTACCATGAAGAGCTCAAAGATTTGGAAATTTATACTTAGTCTATATGTTTTACATATTTTACTGTTCGTTATTTGATTGAGATTAATCATGATCCATTTAAGTAGCTATTTATATCTAGTACCATAAGTGTCAATATTCTTAAATACATTTCAGTACACTGTAAATGCTACAGGACTAAGCAGTATCTTAGGGTGTTATTCAGAACCAGGGAAATTTTTATGCAGAAGCTTCAGATAACAAAATTATTCTGTCAGGCAAACTCCCATAACACATTCATTTTTCATTGCATTTAATTTATTTTTCTCACATTAATTGTAATCGTCACTACTCTCATTAACTTCCCTGGATCTACACATATAATTAAGGCTACATGCCTTTAAACAACTGCAGAACCCAGACCATATAGTTTAATTTTTGATTATTTGGGTTTATCGTCTGGCAATCAATATTTCATTACACAAACAAAAAGGTCCCAAACATGTATCATGCTCTTTGCAATGAGATCTTTTAATCTTTACGAACGAGCTCCTATGGTGCAGCACAGTTAAGTTCTGATATTTGGTACTTTATGCAGACCCTAGAGAAAGCAATTAGGTGAATATCTCCGCTTATACTTTCTAAAATAGCTGCAGAACAAAAATTCTTAAAACATGTCATTCATATGTGTCTTAAGGGTTTGAAGGTTAAATAGTACATAAGTTTTTTTTTAAACTAGCTGCATCATCTAAAGCATGTGGTTATTTCCTTTAAAAATCCAAAGCTTTATTTTTTTTTATTTTTTTATATATATTTTTTGTTATATTTTGCTTTATCCCTGTGGTTCTGTTCTACTAATTTAAGAGGCATTCTTGTGAAATAAGAACTGAGCCACAATTCTACAGAGTTTCCAATTCAATGTAACGGTTGTGATTCGTGAGTGCCCTGTCTGGAGTGTTTTGGAGAAAGTACGTTTTAAGGTTCCTGTCCTCCGAACGCACAAGAGCATTAAACACCCATAAGGCCCGTACATCTGTAGGTT